CATGACAGGTGTACAATTGCCAAGTCTTTAACTGGGTTAAAGTGCATGGCTTTCACCATGATTTGCTGCATAAGTTAGCCTTGGCTGGGTTCATCCAACCCCCAAAACCCCCAGGCACGATCTACAAACCCCGAGGATGACGTTCACCCAACAGATTTAGGCTCTAATTTGCAACCTACCAGGCTTGGTGTTCTTGTAGACAAGGCAGACCTTCCCATTCCCCGCACAGGGGTCTAATTCAAATATCAGACAGCGTGAGTCCAGGTAAGGCCTCTTCGGTTGTTCCTTGTCACCTTGGGAAGAAACAGCCAAGAAAACAGACCAAGCTTCCCCCAACAGCCCTGGGTGTGGAAGGACAAAGGTGGGGAAGTTCTGAATCTTGGGAACATCCAGAACCCCTTATTGGTGAGGTCTGAGAAAGAGGTGAGAAAATAACAAGGGCTGCTGTTGTAGAAAAGAGCCACCCAATCCAGATGTCCTCCCTACCATCCCAGTGGAATTGGACTTCCCGTCACTGAAATCCATTATTCCTTCTCTGGCATCCAAGAATGGGAGGGAACTTAGCTCGACTTTCTAAATCCTTTCAGATATTTGAAGAGCACCACCCCATGACAGCATCCTGGCACCGGAGTGGGCGGGGCCTTTTGAAGCGCTCCAATCCAACGTGCTGCTCAGTGCAGAATCCACAATCAGGCATCCAAAGTGGAAGGGCATCGAGATCTAACCTCTGTCTGAACATGCCCAAGAGGGGAGCCTACATTTCTGCGGGACGTTGGTTCTATTGTCCAATCTCATTTACTATTCAGGACGTTTTTTTTCTAGCATTCGGCCAGAATCTACCCTCACATAAATCCAGAAAACCCTGTCCTTAACAGCTTTTGATCTTCATGTCTCAGAAGTGGGGTGGGGCAGGGGGAGAGGTAGCATATCTTATAGGCAAATGGGTATGTGTGTGTGTGTGTGTGTGTGTGTACCTTCCTCCTCGTCGGTGTCTTCCAGGTCAGCGAGAGTTGGTGCACTGGGCAAAGCGTATGCTGGTGAAACACCAAGACGGTTCAGCTTGGAGATACTGTTAATCGTCATACAGCCCAGGGAAACGGGGTTATCTTGAAGACAAAATAACCAGGTTCATGCATTGAGCCAAGACACAGCTTGCTAAACTGTGGTTGGTTGAGTACCACAATGAGGGGTGTGCCACCAATACACTACGCCCAAACTTGGAAGGCCAAATAAAATAAATCTCAACGTTGTAAGAGACCCTGGTGTTTATTTCGCAGCTGAATGGCTCACATTTTCTCAAAAGTAAAATGAGGAAAGCATGAACTGAACCCGAACAGGATACTCTTCCCCAACCTGGGGACTGTCAGTGCATTTCTGGGACCAGAAATATGCTGCCTGGAATTGAGAGAGCTTTTCTTCCAACGCATCTAGGGAAGGCTGAAATAGGATGTCAATAAATGGGCCTGAGACACTTACCATCAAACTTGACACTCCAGGTCATACGGAAGCCATCTGTCATGAGGTAGAAATTCTTTAAGTCCTCTGGTAGGACACAGGCATTTTTCTGCAAGCGAAGACGAGGGTGGGAAGGAAACAAAAAGCTGTCAGGATTAAGAAGTGGGCGGGTCACGTCCTGCGGAGTGAGCGAGCCAGTGAGCAAGAAAAACAGGTGTACATGAGCACAGGGGTGACCCTGCAAAATTCTGGCTGGGGAATTCTGGGAGTTGAAGTCCACACATCTTCAAGCAGCCAAGGTTGAGAAATACTGGCCTAGATCAATAAAGCAGAGTGTCTGTTTCCTGACCTGACGGCAAGGTAGCTGACAGCAAGGTAGCCTTTGGTTGTGGTGCTGCGGCTGGGCCATGGACTCTCTGGATTACAGCTCATTTACCACGATTTCCACAGGAAAACCCCAGATGCAGGGATGACGTTATGAAGTCTGTCTTTCTTCTTTTCTTTTTTATTGTATCCTACAGTATTTCTATTTTATAGTGCATCTTATTCATTTTTTTTTCTCTTTCCCCCCCTTTTTAAGTCATAACTTTTAGGCTTTAGATGCACGTTTTTGTTCTGGCTTCTGTGTTTTTACCTTGTGGGTCACTGATCATAATTAAATAAATGCTGAACTTTGAGCTTTAAGGTAATCTATGAAACAAGAAGACCAAAAGCAAAGGTTGGCAGCATTTATTAAAAGAAGGTGAAAGGTGGTTTGGGTCCAACCTTTGCTTGAAAACATCTGGTGATGGGACACCCACAACTTCATGAGGCAGGCTGTTCCCCTGCTTCATAGCTCTGAGTCAGGAAATTCCTCCTTATTTCAAGTTAGCATCTCCCTGCAATCTGCCCGTTCTTGTTCTACCCTTGGGCACCACAGACAGTAAACCTGCTCCCTCTTCTCTTCGGCAGCCCTTCTGGTACGAGAAGGAAAACCTCTAAGATTGAGCTAGATTTTAGCAAGATTCAGACTTTTAAAAATCCCTTTTTAAGAAAAAAAAAAAAAAAGATCAACTCTTCAAGGAAAAATCTTACTGAACCATCTTAGCATGAGGACATTGTTTGGCTATATCAGACCAGTGCTTGGAGGGTGAATTCACAATATCTGTCTAAGACAGTGTTTCTCAACCTTAGCATCTTTAAGATATGTGGACGTCGGCTCCCAGAATCCCCCAGCCAGGATGGCTGGCTGGGGAATTCTGGGAGCTGACGTCCACATATCTTAAAGTTGCTAAGGTTGAGAAACACTGGCCTAACATCTGGACCAGGATTCGCTCACATTGGACCCATCACCCAATGCTGCACCAGGGTTGGGCCATGTCAGTAGACACCAGGAAAGTCTCTCGTGCTTGGAGAAAAGCAAATGCAGATGCCGGGTCCCCGATGGCGGCTTCACTTGCTCCAGGCTGATGGACATACACAGCCCCATAGCCCCATTTTTCCCAGTGAGAAGGAACCTGCCAAAGGGGGGTTGATCAGTCCACACTGCAACTCAAACCAGCATCTCTGCAAAGTCGCATCTCCTCTCAATCATTTTGGGCAATTTTAGCATTTATTCTTGTAATCCTCAGTTTGGCCCTGACGTTCTTGCACTGCCAGAGACCCTTCCAGGTTTTCTCCTGAAATAGCCAGTGGTTGCTTGGCCACGGCTGTTTTCCCCCCCCGACCCTTCGGCATTCTTAAAGACCTGAGTTAACTCTGACCCCTTTGGACTCCTGCCCCCCTAGCTTTGCAGCTATCTTTGGCTGGATTTCAGCTGTCCGGACAACTGCCCGCTGTCCGTTCTCGGCTGAATTCTCTTGACTACCTAGAGGACGTGCCCCTAAAATTCTGCCTTTTAAAAACCACGGGCCGCGGAGTTGGCCGCCCAAGAGGAAGAAGGCTGGCCCCAAGCAGCACTCTTGCAGAGAGACAAATGCAAGAACAGGTGAGAAAAACACTCTTGTATTTACAGGAGTTAATTAACGCAGAAAGCGGAAAAGGGTGGGCGCCGGGGTAATATTGCTCAGAATGAATGGTTCTGTGTGGTTAATTTACTTTTTAAATGTCTTGACTGCAAGGAGAGAGTTTATGTCAAGGACTATCACAAGGAGAGAACAGTCTGTACCTTTTGAAGAGGAAACTATTCCAGGCAGGTGAAATTCCGAGCAAAATGAAGCTTACGTGGAATAGGTCTGCCAATGAGGATGGTTTGTGGGGGCCAAATCCTTTGATCTGATATGCTCAATTGTTAGGGACAAATAAAGTAGGGTGGGTGCAGTTCCTCCCCCCCATCCCCCATAACCTCCCTGTCTCTTCTATACTCTGTCCATCTAAAAGCAATGAATTGCAATTCATATAATTTGCAGCTAGTCTGTGAAACATCAGTTGTGCTATCTGCAGGTCAGAAAAGAGCCTCTTTTTTGGGGAGGGGGGCGGTTGGTGGTGGTGATGGAAGCCAATAAAATGGCTTTCCTTGCAAAGAAAGCCTGAAAGGGGTGGGGGGGTTCTTGCAGAACAGAGGAAGCAGTTTATATGGGTACCTTATAAAAGAGGACTACAAACTGGTATTTCTATAGGGGGCAACAATGACTACTTAGTGGAGCTTCTTAGTCTGGGGGCAGTATACCACACAGTAAGTTATACCTGGAACAAAGAAAAGGGGAAGGGATTCTCTTTCCTATCCTACTCGGACGTTTCTTGGAATAACAGATTGGCTGCTGCTTGGAAAACATGGATGAAATTTGGGTTCACAAATTTCCCTGGGTTTCCTGGTTTTTTTCCCCCTTTAAATGTTTGTTCTTTCGCATTCGGCATTTTTAAAGCATGCAAGTGGATTCTGGACCATGGGTCTGATCCACCACTTCAACTCTCTCCCTCTCCAAGGGATTTCTTAGCCGGTTGAATTTACCATGCGCGGCTGGTTCAGGAGAAGCCAAGGGAAACTGTGACATCTAGTGGAAAGAAACGGGTAGGGCATCTCCCTCGCAAGCGTTCCCAAAGCTGCCTGCATCAAAAGGGAAAAGGTGAAGCCTTCTCGATGCCTCTGACTCCTGGTGCAATTTGGGGGTTCCAAGAAACCAGGAGGAGGTTGTTTGCCATTGGCTTCTTCCACGATATCTTTAGACTGGTCTACACCTTGTGGTCTCCCATCCAAGTGCTAACCTGACCCATCCGACCCTGTTTAGTTTTTCACGATGGACCAAACACGCTAGCTAATGCCACCCGCAGCTAAAGGCAAGTTCTCCCTTGAAGTAAGTTCCATTCCTGATGTGTTTATGGGGACATCAACAGTTTTCTTGGCAAAAGTGTGGTTGGCCACAGCTTTCTTGATTTCCCAACCTAACTTTCTGCCACCCTGCGAGGGATTTCTGGTGGTCGCCTATTCAAGTCGGAAGGGGCCAGATTCTACTTAGGCAGCCCGCTCAAAGGGGTTTCACTGTAAGGTGTTTTGCATTCATCACCCCAGCCCAAAGGCAGAAGTGTGCGTTGCTCTCTGTTGTGCAAGGGAAAAGACAAAATGCAAAGAGAGGCCGCAGCACCTGTTCCCAGGAGATGATTGCGTGGCGCTCCGCAGGTTCCTTTTCTACAAACATCACTTCTGTAACTCCTGGAGAATTTTCTGCAACAACAGACAACACAAAAAGAAGAAGTTCAGCTGACAAGGAACAGCCAGGGAGCAGCAAATATAAGAATCAGAACTGAAAAAGATCTGTGAGTAGGTTTCACATTTTTGAAAAAAATACCTCGATTTCAGTTTCTCACTCTTGCAAATACATTGAAGTTTGGTTCCTTGAACTCAAGAATTTTTTTTAATGACACTAAAACCTCTACTCATTTTACAGCAGTTCAGTTTGCCATTTTTCAAACCATTTTCCCCAAGAGAGTACAGTACGCTGTTTTCAGAATATTGTGTACTGATGTTTCCTTATTGTACCACTTACATATTATTGGTACATTAATACCAATAATACAATACGGACAACAGTTATGTTTTAATGAGAACAAAGCTTTAGTCTTGCGGTTGGTCTGACAATGGGGAATAGAAAAGTTTGCATCGCAAAGGTGTGTCCAGAGATAGGGTATCGAAAAAGTCAAAGGGGCTGGGGCCGCCATTTTGGCTTTTTGGACTTCCTCCCTGCAGACCCTCCTGTGCTCCAAAGTGGATCCAACGTCTCTTTCCGATCCCTAATACAGTAATACCTCGGTTCACGAACGCTTCTGTTCACGAACAATTCGGTTCATGAACAGCACCGTTCGCAAAATTTTGCTTCCGTTGGCGAACTCCGCATCAGGTGACGAACACGACCCGCGGCCATTTTCCCTGTTGTGACACGTAGTCGTGGCTTCGTGTAGGGAGGGGGACTCTCCCTCCAAGCAATAACCGCCTCCCCACCCCCCTTCCTGTCCTCCACGCCTCAAGCAAGGTTAGCGTTCTT